GCCATATTTAATTTAGATAGCTTTAGTTTTATACCAAAAATGTTCATTTTCATTTTACATTTTCTTTAGTTGTAATGTGGTGGCCCAGAGGTTTAAGAAGCCCGCTTCTCATGCATGAGAGTGCGGGTTCGAAACCTACCAACGGCAAAGTACCTTTTGTCCAATGTGTCTTTTTTCCGAGTTATTGGTATATTCAATAATCTAAGAAAGTACAAAGACACCGCTGACGAACGGTGAAGGAGAACATTGTGAGGAAACATGGGCTTATAATTTCTTATTATAAGTTTGAATTACCAACCCACATTGAGCTAGTATGGTGATTAATGCTCAAACCTCCATGCGAGAAGAGGCTTCGGTCAGCAGTGGCCACTTATAGACTTAATGATGAAAATGTTGATGATTCTACTAATTTGACTTACTTATTAGAAATTACTTAATCCTTACATGCGTGCTAAGCAACCAGTTTTCAGAAGAAATACTTTCTCAAAGAGCTAAGCTAAGTTTAAATCGAATTAACTTGGACCCTTGAGACTATCTACCTGCAAGATTCAAGGTGAAGTGAGACATTAGTTTTATCATATCCGCCACAAGACTTCCACTGCTAAATGTAGGCCTTCTACCCAATGACAGTCGCTTACATTATGAATTTGCATTTTCGTAGGCACCTAAGAAATGAAAAAGATTGTGAGGCATACTCTTTAAAACTCTATAGGTGCATCATGCTTGCTGAATTAACAGGATCATTCCTAATTGCCTTTTGCGCTGCGACGCACCATAGGTTATTTTTGGGTTTCTAAATTCTTGTTGTGTGTCGTAGCAAAATAAATGGTTTTTCTTTCTTTCTTTCTTTCTAATAATACAAAGTGTAATAGTCACTTGAGTAGCGAGCAGTATTTTTAGATTTTTGTTTTTTGTAAATAAACAACCACATGAGAGCACATTGACATTTTTCAGTTAACTGTCATCTGTCATTTGTAATAGATATTTTGCTTACGGTGGCTCTACACTTGACGTTGCGTATTTGTTGTGTTCGGCCAAAAAATAACATGTTTGGAGGATTTATTCTTCTTTGTTTGCTATATATTTGCACGCCATTACATATAGAGATACTATTTGGACGCCATTTGTACGTAGTCTACAAATATTTGGACAAATGAAGCGACTACGCAATGTCAAGTGTGGTACCACCTTAACATACCTTTTGCACATTTTCAAAGTGAAATAACTTTTGAACCCCAAGTTCTAAAAATATGTAATTTTTTTCTAAACTTCATAATAAAAATATCTATCGTTCAGACTATTCACTTGGTTAAAACAATGACTAATACAAAATTTTATAGCGGTACAAAACTTCCATACAAACCTGCCATTCTCCTTTTAAAGTAGTCTAACAAGTTGGTGAGCGTCCATTTGCATTTATGTATGAATTTAGTAAGCGCGAAAAGGTCATATTTGTTGCCAGTCTTCCCTAGACCTTGGCGGATTTGATAACAAAAGTATGACAACACAACAACAAGCCCAACAAGCATTTGTGAAATGACAATACGTACACGATATCGTCAACTGTACTCGGTACGGTTCCATAGTCTACCGTTTGTTTGAAAAAATACATAGAACGGACGATATTCTAAGTATTCACTTGCTGTGAAAAAGTCGCTTGTCTAGAAGAAAAACTGTTTTAGAAACGCGAACTTTTAGTCACAGAAGTGTAGCAAAGTCGGATATAGATTTTGTAGGGAACAGAGCTTTGGGAAAGATAGGTTCAATTAGAAAGTTGGCAACCAATCGTTATTCATAATGATACAGATTCATTAAATCTCTTTGTTCATCGTATTCTACGATCGGGCGTCATCTGACGTATGTTTATCGATGATTCATAGATAAGTCTTAAAATCAGCGTGCGTGATTTTTTAACAAGAAACAAACTCGCATAATTTAAACACGAGCACCACTAATTTGTCTGTGGGGAGGCTCAATGTAGCTCAATGCTGAGCAATTGTGCAGCCGACAGCACACGTGTGGGCGAGAGAAATAATATAAATATGTATAGAACACGTGCAGTTTAGCGATAGAATAATAAGAGATAATTAGCATTGTATGCATATTTTTCAATGTGTTATTTATCTATCTAATGGTTCTAATATATCAGCAGACGTGTTTGCATAGCATCGTGACTAGAACCTCCTTTCAATTGTCTATGCTGCAGCAAACAATAAAATAAATCAATAGACAAGATATTAAAAAAGAAACTTAAGTTTCGAAATTGTTCTCAGATAACAATTTTCAAGATCCTTGATCAAAATCTATTTTTAAGTTCTTTTCACTTGCTAAAATATTAAATATTTATTATTGGAAATTTTAGCAATAAATGTTCAAACAGTGGGGGATTGCATGTAATAAATACTATGTTGGTTAAAAACACAATAAAAACAATACAAACTGTACAGAATCTAGTTTATGAAGTCACAACTGATAAAATATAGCGGATTGAACTAGTGTTCGCCACTTTTATTGAATCCAATGCAAGATCCAATTATCAACTTGCATTACTGAAACTAAATCTAATTTATTCAAAACAATTTGCTTTAATTGACATTTTGTGTCATCATACTGATTTTAAGAGGAAAACTATAATTGGAAATCCTAGGCATGTATCTCACAACCACAAGTATGTACATTACATACATAGAAACCCAATCAAATGTTGTTTACCATAACATAATGACACTCCTTTTAAACCCTGAAGTGTAGACAGAGTGGGACAAATGTAATGTAACACCCAGTTTCACCTATGTTTAAGTAATATATTAACAAATACAGAAAATACACTGTTCATTGGGGAATACAAGAAAAGGAGGCTTATGCTCAGCAGTGGACAACCTGTGGGTGGTATTATGATATTTATCATGTTACTATATTCTAGACTATACAAACATACAGCTTTAATCTTCAAAGACCGAGTTCAGAGATGAAATGACCCATAACTGATGAAACAGACTATTTTAAAACATAGACAACCTTTTTTGAGGTGAAAGGACTCTACTTTCAAAAGGATCAAACTAAATACTAAAGAAAATATCAGCTGATAACGAACTTAATACCTCAATCTTTAAAGTAAGATAAAAATGCAAACACAAAACATAATAACACTGCTTAAACTGTCAAACACCAAGCGGTCACCGGTGACCGCAACCTATTGTTCTTTAATTGTGTCTATAAATATGGTACTCGACGAGTTAATGCAGTTTTGTTATTTATTACATAACAAAGATTATTAAAATAATTTAAGAATAGCCTAGTATAGACAAAGTCTGTGTTACTAAGAAAGTATTTAGCCTTTAATATACAGTCATCAAATCAACTTGTAATAAAATTATATGTTTTTAATATCATGCAAATGATTTAAATTCTCAATGAAGGGTAATGTATGGCAGATGATATCTAACTGAGCTAATTAAACACATAGTAATAGTAACATCCTTTTAGATAATTGTCACAACTGTGTACCAGTATTGTAACATACAGGATGCATAATAGTAACTTAATATCTTGCAAATTTGATTAGAACCTTTTTCCTTAATGCCAAGCATAAAGCTGAATATCATGCACTATGGTCTATGTTGTCTATTCACAGTAAATTGCATTATGTTGTGAATCAGACAATAATTATCAAGATTTTAAGTGCTTTCAGACCTGAATTGATAATTAATTGATTAATTTATTCTATTATAATAGATAAACCATTTAATTCAGGTGTCTAAATGAGGTTAGTGATAATAATTGCTATTTTATGTGCTATCCTTGATACTTACCTTTTTCAATTAATTGTTTGTCATTAATGAATCAGCATCCTATTCATTTATGCTTATGAAAGATAAACATAAAAAAAAAACATGAATTTCAAATGATTGGTTGGATTTGTCAATGAAACAAATGTTTCAAAATATTTTGAAACTACCAGTTCATTATGAATTTCAATAGTAAACATTACTGATGCTGTGGTGATATTTTGATTATGCACAAACAAGCAAAAAAATTAATGGTGTACATAAAACAAAAACTATCACTAAGAGTATGTAAACATTAAAAGAATTATTGATTGATGCACTTAGTTCAAGCTTCTAAAGGCAGTATATTGTCTAAATTACATGGACCCAAAAGGAAATAATATGCTTCGATTATCTATTCTGTTTTAACTCGTCGAGTACCGGTTTTATAGACACAATTAAAGAACAATAGGTCGCGGTCACCGGTGACCGCTTGGTGTTTGACAGATTAAAATTCTAATTAAGTATGGAGATGTTGTCAGACAAATTATCACAGTACAAGACATCACATACTAGTTTCCTAAACTCTTTTATATCATAGGAAGATAAACTCATATAAAATACATAAAATATCCACTAAATCTTACAAGAATTTAAAACCTCTAGCTCTGTTTTAAAATTTCATAATAAAAAGTGGCAAATACCTAATGAAAAAATCAATATATGAAAGTATATAAATTAACAAATTTCTCAATGGCAGAGAAATGCAATAACCAACTAATCAATCATATTTTCTCAGCAGCAGATACAATTTACCAAAGCAATAAAAAAATCAATGAAAACATCCATGGTAAACATCTAAACCTACAATTCTACAAAACTAGTGTTAATTGATTATCAGACTTTCCGAGCCGCGTCTATAAATATCTTCTAACCAATTAGGCTAATATCAACTAGGATAGATTGATAGCTGGGTGTGGTAAACAGAGGTGCTAGTACGACTACAAAACTCTCTCCATCCCCGACATCCCGGAACGATTAGCGTACCAACGGCCGACGGCTTCGACCACAACCTATAAACGATGTAGGATCGCGTTCTTGTAAGTCGCTATGTAGGTATATGAATCATTCATCATATAGCTACCGACCCCACGAAAATATATACAAAACGCATGGAATCGATCACAAAACCACTAAACTCATTATCTAATGATGAATTCAAAGGTACATTACCTTGTCGCATAACGTTTTTACTTGATTTTCTGTCAATTGCTTGCATTCATTTAGTTGTTCTATCCACTGATCCAGTTCTTTTAACGACGCCTTGTCCTCCATACTTTGTGTCTGTGAGATTAACGTACGAGACGTTAACTGTGATTTTGATTGTCTTTATGTTTTAAATGTACACAAAACCATGCGAATTACGTATTTTCCACTGTGCCCAGAAAACTGACTACGGCGGACACTTTACAAAATGGCGTTTGCGTGACGTCAATTTTCAGAAAAGAAATACGCCAAGCGGCTTTTATGGGAACTAGATGATGATGCTACTAATGGATGCGTTCAAATTTAACATTTTATACATAATTTTTCTACAATATTGCATTGCACAGAAGCAAACCAATGCAATTATTAAATCAAAGTATAATGTATAATAATTTAAACAGTAATTGTGAAATATTTAATGTTTAAAGTTACATACTTTTATGGAGCCCGATGGTACAATTTTTGCTTTTGCCATTGTTTGCGGAGCTTCGACAATAAAATCCATCTAGGAAAATATATTTATTACACGTTAATTCCTGAAAAAGCTTAAAATAAGCAAATAATTGCCAAAATTTAATCAGTCTTCTTTCAGTTTATTATAATGTCAAGACAAAATAATTCAACTTCACAATTTTCTTTTGAATTTTATTGAAAACTTGACACTTTCGTTTTTCAAATATTTCCATTTCATTCAACAATATGATTGTCGAATGTTGTTAGAATGAGTTGTAGCGCTGGAGTTTAGATTTTGAATGAAGTAAAAAAATTGTATGAATATGAAAAAAAGTATTTTTAGACCACATCAAAGTACAAATACAAGTACAAGTAAATGTAAATGTTAATATCTAACCCCAGGAGGCAGGCAACACTTTTGGAAGTTTTGAAAGTCCTCTGCTGTTTCTGGCGTATCATGGGTAGCGGTTTAAATGTTCAAATGATAAATAATTTAGTATAAACAGATAAATACTCAGTATTTAACCAATTTGAGTATTTATATTCGACAGAGAAATCGCCCATCTGATTTAAACCATAGACACTGCCAAAATTACCCATACCCAGAACAGAAAATTAAAAAGTTTCAACGAATGAATCGTTTCCTCAACTGCCAAAACCAATTCCGGTCTTTTTACTTTTGAGTCGGGGACTGGAGTGTTGGTGTTGAGCCGCACAACAAGTTTTCTTGAAAATGACTGAAACATTGAAGCTTCGAGGAACCCTCTGCGGCCACAATGGCTGGGTTACGCAAATTGCAACCAACCCGAAATACCCTGACATGATTTTATCGTCATCTCGAGGTAAGGTTATATTTCACAATTTTCACATACCTATTTTAATCCATGATCATCCTTGAAAATACTGTATTTATTAACTTAAAATCTTTCTAAGTCTGTAGTAAATTGGACGATTTGTATTAATTTCAAAATATTTACATGATGACACAATCTTTTGCCACGCGACTCCTGAGCGGCAAGCGGATATGGGGCTGATGATAACGTTTTCTTAGTATCAACACCTTGTTAGTGTTGACATGCTCTAATCATAAATTCCGAATTGCTTTTCAGACAAGACCCTCATCGTATGGAAGCTGACCAGAGACGAAACCAACTACGGAGTCCCCCAGAAGCGTCTGTACGGTCACTCTCACTTCATCTCTGACGTCGTATTGTCCAGCGACGGCAACTACGCTCTGTCTGGTTCCTGGGACAAGACTCTGCGTCTGTGGGATCTTGCTGCCGGAAAGACCACTAGGCGTTTCGAAGACCATACTAAGGTGTGACAGAACTTAACATTTTGGTTAGGGTTGTAGTATATGTGCCGATGCGCGGCAGAAGATTAAGTGTATTTGTGCCTTTGCGAGGCAGAAGAATTCATATGCTGCGAGCATTGTTGTGATACAACTAGGACTGTGTTAGAGGTAAGAGTGTGGCTAGTCACATTTCACACTGTTTTAAACTAACACTACATTGCACCTTTTTAAGTTCAGTTTTGGTTCATAGCATAATTTTGTAGTTGTAGAGCCTATTTTATTTTGCAGTGTCTAATACTAAATAGATAAGCCAGATTATAATGTTTTATTTCCATATAGGATGTCCTCTCCGTGGCTTTCTCAGTGGACAACCGTCAGATTGTATCTGGCTCTCGGGACAAGACCATCAAGTTGTGGAACACACTTGCCGAGTGCAAGTACACCATCCAAGACGATGGCCACAGTGACTGGGTGTCTTGTGTGCGCTTCTCCCCCAACCATGCCAACCCCATCATTGTCTCAGCTGGCTGGGATCGCACTGTTAAGGTTTGTGTAATTCAACTTTTATTAATTATGTATAATATACTAAATATCGAATTATTATCAAAATTAACATGCATTTATCTTATGCATGTTGTACTCAAACCACATGTTCATGTTACTAATGTATTGTCATTAACATTATATTTATTGTTCTACAGGTCTGGCACCTTACCAACTGCAAGCTCAAGATCAACCATCTTGGCCACTCTGGTTACCTGAACACAGTGACAGTCTCCCCCGACGGTTCCCTCTGTGCTTCCGGTGGCAAGGACATGAAGGCCATGCTCTGGGACTTGAACGATGGCAAGCACTTGCACACCTTGGACCACAATGACATCATCACATCATTGTGCTTCTCACCCAACAGATACTGGCTGTGTGCTGCCTTTGGACCTTCCATCAAGATCTGGGTATGTAACTTAATAATCTGACTGTAGAGTCCTACTTAAGTTGCTATGTACAACTTTTAGTAAGAATATTTTGTTGTAGGTTTTGAATGGAAATGAACTAGTAGTTAATTTTATTAAATTTTTTCAACAGGATCTGGAAAGCAAGGAGATGGTTGAAGAGCTCAGGCCTGAGATCATCAACCAGACCCAGACCTCCAAGTCGGACCCACCCCAGTGCTTGTCTCTGGCCTGGTCCACAGATGGTCAGACCCTCTTCGCTGGTTATTCCGACAACATCATCAGAGTCTGGCAGGTGTCAGTCTCAGCACGATAAGGAGTTACAGAAACTTAGTTTCATTTATTTTTGTGCTGCTCATTACTTATGTAGCCTGACTGTGAGGATAAAAATAAATGGAATTGTTTGACTTAAACCATAGCAGTTTCATTGTGATCTCCTTGTAAGAATAGATATAAGGTACTTTAAGTTTTTCCAGTAACTGTCAGTTACAAATGTGAGTAAGGTATACAAGTAATGTTTATGTATGAATGTGTATAATTTATGTAAATAAAAACCAATGATTATACAGAAACATTTTTCTTCTTTCAACATATTACATAAGATATTCGAGTTCACAATAAGATAAATCTACAGTCAGTACCTACATTACCCTGAATAGCATACATTCATTACATAATTACCAATATTATAATAGGTATAACAACTTATAAATATTTATTGGACTAACTACCAAACCAGACCAACACTGCTTATCAACTAGAATATTTTACATAGGTATACCATTACCAAAGCAACATTCACAAATAGATGTCACTTCATTCATAAAAATGATGGCAAACAGGATATTCCATTCACATGTAAATTATGTATTCTTGATCTAATGATCTATTTTTGTGACACTATATCTCAACAATTATTATTCAATCTTTGGTAACCCAGTATCATTCAAAAGATGTGATCCATCTGTAACTTCTGTGGGTCCTTCTCCAACTTTAGTATGTATAACATATTTTATCAAATCTTTTGCTTGAGGCTCACAAATATTCTTTAACTCTGGATTTAATGTAACTTCATTTGTTTTTAAGCCAGTTACAAATAGCTCTGGGTTAGAGGAAGGGAATACATGTCTTATAAAAGATAACACTTGTGGTACCTCTTCCTCAAGGAGGTACAGACAAGCATTTGGTCCAGCATCAAAAGTGTAAGCAACTTTTGTGCTTCCAGAGAGCTCATTGTACTTGTGTATTAAATCAACAATTAGGTGAGATACATCTGTCATGTACACAAATGGTGGATAGGAATCCAAACACACTGCATGAAACTGATTGCTGTCCTTCATAGTTATTTCAGCAAATTTTGGAAAATCTTTCTGTTTGATTGCCTGAATAATCTCGTCAGTCCTCTGTGGCACACAATACTTAATTCTATGTTTTAATAACTCAGAAGTTTGTGTTGATATTCTCATACCAGTAGTGGAACTAGTTTTCTTTTTAGTATCGCCTACAACTAGGATTAAGGCGTGCATTTCGGGCCAGTGTGCAGAACCTTCGATTTGAGAAGCTACTGAATCTGTACCATCTGGATTAGTACCTGCATGCCATCTAACGAAGCCTCCATATACACTGCGGCAGGCACTGCCTGATCCCAACCGGGCAATAGAGCTAACATCAGACTTGACTTTATAAAGTTTAGCCAGAGCTGTCACAAGGCATGCATATCCAGCTGCGGAAGACGCCAATCCTGCGGCAGTAGGAAAATTATTTTCCGAACACACACGTACTTTCCATTGTAGAAAATCTTCATTGACGCTGTTTTCCGCCGCAGCTCTGGATTTTATTTCTTTTAGGCAATTTTGTAGTCGCGGACTCTGAAATGTTTCCTTTTTTCCGTTCAACCATATTTCATTTTCTTTAAATTCTGGTCTTGCACAGACCGATGTTTTCGCGCACATAATACTCGTATCCAAAGTAGCACTAACGGAATCATTTAACGGTAAAATTAAATCCTCGTCTCGTTTGCCCCAATATTTAATAACAGCTATGTTAACAGGTGCTTTAACTGTTATAATATCACTCATTTTTCTTGTAATCAATAGACCAAGTTACAATTTTTAATTCAATAAAATAGTCACAGCTATTTCAATAAACAAAATATGATACGCGTTAACACCAAAGTAAAATAAAACCACTTGCTCGCTTTCACCGGCCTCCGCACCGGTTATCGTCAGTCAGTCAACAAAAGTTGAAAGTTGATAAAGTTTATGAACGAAAAGAACGAAAAAACTGAACAGTCAAGCTACTGCAATGAGAGAACGATTCAATATTTTATATCCTTTTCATAATGAGATTAAAGAAACGAGACAAAGGTATGATTTTAATCGGTAACCGTTCGGTTGCTTTCGGGTTTCAAATATTTCATTCAATCGGCCCATAGCACGTTCAGGACTTATATCAGCTGTGTTCAGTTTCCATAGTTTGCTAATGATGCGTTCAAAATTTATTTTCAAAGGCGAATAAAAAATAATCGAACAAAATATCATAAAATAAGTTACATGAACAATCTATTACTACTTATAAAACAAGAATTTATTAGTTCTGAAGTGTTTGTATTAGGTACATGTTTACGAATCGAATGATGAAGGAGTGCAAATACCTACAGTAAATTAAATATTTTGTGATTTTAAAACGACCATTTTTCCTTTTAACATTATATTACACATTTTAGTATATATATACATATTGTGCCGATAATATCTCAGGATTTTTAAAGATTCTTTTAATTTATTTATTTGGTGTTACTGAACTTACGGTTGCAACTTCAATCATAGCGACGTATTCTGGTACTAGTATTATCCGACAAAATGTAAATGCTTTGTGGAAGCGCTTCAAAAGATTTGTTCAGTACGGAGATGTTGAAGGATTGCTAGCGTGAGGGTGTGGAGGTAGTGTACTTTTAAATTTTGCCGTATAATATTACACATTTCAATTCAACGCTGCCATTTTCGTTTTGTGGCACGGTTAAAGCGGCGGTCTTAATGTGAATTTTCCTAAATATCTGGCATTTATTTATTTACAAAGTGTGCAAAATATATTGTAGTGCATTTGTTTCTTCGAAAAACATCAAGAAGTGGCGATCTTAGTGTATATAACACCGGATAATTGTTGACTTCTTTGGGTGGAGAGGGTGAGTAGGTACATTATATCAATATTCCGGGGTTTTACGGCTTAGTAATCATCCCATGAGCACCGAAACCTTTCTTACAGGACTGACCGTACTTTCCTTACACCATTATACTTATTGGAATAGTGTGCCATTAGTGTATACTTTCTGGTATTCGCAATTAGCTCGCTAAAATGGGCGTTGTGATGAAGAGTGAAGGTTTATCATTAGTTATATCGTCACCGCGCCTTATTAACGATGTTATTTACTCAGCTAAGATTCGTATGGAACGACTGTTATCAGATAGTTCAATGTATAAAGTTCTTTTTGGTGTGTTCATTGGAAAGAAAATACTCAGGTTGGATGAATAAGTTCGTAGTTATCTAAGATAAAGTATGTGATGCAGACGTCTTTGCGTTCTATGGAATAGATTTTCTATAAATCTAAAGATGGGCAATATAAAAACAATAGTGTTTTAAGTTCCTTATACAATACTTGTATCAAATAGGTACTATTTGTAAGAGCACATTCTCACTATTGTCTTCCTATGATGCTCTTTGACATGTTGATTATGAATCACAGATTTTAATGTGTGACCAAACATCTGTTTACATCATTTCACTCTCAACCTTGAAGCTGCATAATTAATTCTGTTCATTTCTTATTGACTTCTTATAAGCATTTACTTACAATGTCAACAAGCTAGACATTAGATCAGAACCCCTCATAGACTGTACTGTATTAGAACAAAAATCTCATAGGTTGTACCCAGGTACTGTGTACCTATGCCTAAACATAACACTATACCTTTGATGAGTACAAAAATATTTCAATTGTGTTAGTTATAAACATATAACAGACATAAGAATGTAATAACTACCTAATAAAATTGAGAATAGTCATGGCATTCTTGAGTTCCAGAGATTATGTATGTGGGTAATGGGTAACAAACAGTGCAATATTTTCCTTGACCAAGGAAACCCTGGCATTCTGCCAGTTAATTAAGATGAAATTCTCACCTGTAAATCTAACTTGCATTTTATGCTTAAGTGTAATTTTCAATGCAAGTGTGTAACCTTGAAGAGTGGTAATTTGATATGCAACCTTCATGCAGGTGTGAAAATCATAATTGCATAATGTTATTGTTGTGGACATAATTGAAATGTTTTTGAAACAGCTGTGTGTTGATGTTTACCTTTCTTTATGTACTATAAAATTGTATGAGAGACTAATTACTTTAATTTTTACAAATAAGTAGTTCATTTTAATTCATCTAACAAATAACTATTTAACTAATTTATTTTATTTATTATTGATAAGCTTTTTTGGATGATTTGAATTTTCACTATGTTAATGGCGAAAAACTTGAGTACCTATGTAACTGCAATACACCAATACAAATATACAAGAAAACACGTTTAACTCGTCGAGTACCGGTTTTATAGACACAATTAAAGAACAATAGGTTGCGGTCACCAGTGACCGCTTGGTGTTTGACAGTTTAAGTCCTATTGAACTTCTGTCATTTACTATAACCACCAACATTTTAAAATTGATTGTGACATGGAATTAGCGTAGCACTCACAAATTCTTGTTCCAATAGTAAAAAGTAATTATGAATACTTGGATAGCAGTTACAGTGACTATTTTTAATTATTTGATTGACTAACATGTTCTTAATTAACCATTAACATGCAACTAGCTGGTTAGTGAATATGTTTACCCAAGTTATTAACAACATAGGTACAATCTTTTAGATTAAAACATCAGCCACAGTTAAAATGGTAGTACCTACAATGTTTTTAATTAAATTTTTGTGAGTGTTTTCTTTTCATTACAAAAAGGCAGGGAAGGTGTTTAAAAAAAGAAAAATATAGTGTTACATTTGAATTTCTGTGTTGCAAAAGCCTGGTATGAAAATAAAATTTTAGAATATGGACCTGTTTCAACCCCTGTTTTACAAAGTGTCAGTTTATGCGAACACTAAACTATCAGACATTATAAATCTCTATCAGACATTACGTGAAATATGGCCGAAGAATTTAGTGATTGACACAGGTCAGTCTGAGTAACTTAACTATAAAAAACCCAATTACTATTTTTCATTATCATGTGAAAGTGACTTATATGAAATGGTCACTATGTACACATGTATGGAATAAGTCTTTAGTCGACTAAATATGAAGATAATTAACTCTTTGAGTATCATCATTATAGACACAATTAAAGAACAATAGGTTGCGGTCAACGGTGACTGTTTGGTGTTTGACAGTTTACACCTATGGTAAAATAATATGAAATAAAAACATAATTTGTCCTAACATTCATGATTTTTAAAATAACCTTCAGAGCACCACAACCTACATAAACAAATCGTAATATGAACGTTGTTAAACGTAGTTATTAAATACCGATATAAATATAACTAGAGGCATGTCCACACGGTGCTCATTATGCGCACGTCGACATCCTCCCGCGGCCGCGTGACATAGGAACGGAAGCACAGTGGGGACAGGCTTGAGATGCGCAGGCGCATAACCAACATAATTAATAATTAAAAGATATCTTTATAATTTAATGTTTATGCGGTTATTTTTAATTAGGTGGTACTTAAATGTTTATATTTTTTTTCTTTGTATTGTATTCCTTATGTTACTTACGTCATTATAAGACTTATCCATCATTTCTGTAGAGACGTAGACTAGGAATCGAAAACCTTATCATTAACATCTATTTTCGAATATCTAATATTTAATAAAAGTGTGCTTAAAAGCTTTCTCTAATGTTAACATAAATCCCATGAATTGTTTTTTCTACAAAACTATCGCTTAAACCATTAGCTATTGAGATAATCTATCTAGCAATCCAAAAACTAATCATAGCTCTTTTACTTTTACCAAATTTGCTGTATTTACTTTTGTAAAACTCAATCTTCCGAACTTCACTCTACGTCTAACTGAATACTTTAAGAGACTCGCTCAGCCCCGCTCTACCTTAACCGTAAATCCGTGGAGACTTGAGAGTAGCGGAGGACAAGTAAATTCCTACTGCAGACTGCATTACTCAACCGCAATGATCTATTGATTTCCGCAGACACACCTACACTGGACTGTGACACTTATTTGGTTAGAAAGTAAGAAGAAATGGCCTTATTAGAGAAGTCAGGCCTTGTGATGAATTATAATGAAACATAGCAAACAATGAAACAAGTTTTTGGTTCGTAATAAACCACGCGTGATCAGGATCAGTCGATGTGGAATCAGGAAAAATTATTAAGTTTTGATAGCCCTAATTAGTAAGCAGAAATGTGTGCGGACGAAGGACATCTAGCGTTATTCTCCCATCGGACAAATACACTCACTAAATATGGTGAAATATGGGTTCCCCTCTAGCCAAATTTTCGGAAAATCAATAAATGTATCATGACATTAAAGCGTAATTTCAATTACAGTTATCTTGCAACCATGAATTATACTATCAGTACTGTATATTATATCAGATCTTCCAATAATCGTTTCGTGTTTTACCGATCTTTATAAACGCAGACAGCTATGTAACAGTATCGGAGAGGAATCACGCAACTATTGTCGAAATTATTCACCGACGACGCGTGAAATCGTAACCGATGCTGCACGCAGATCAATGTACCGCAAGAATGCACTAAATGACCTTACAAGACTGATTGGAAAACTTAAACGTAGAGTTTTCTGATATCTTCTATCTGTTGATAAAGTTTAACGTAAAATACAAAGAAACTGCAGCTCCAAACATAGAATAGATATTTAGATAGTATACTTATACTATACGAATACGTACTTAGTTAGATCCAAAAAGGCCATTAGCGATCGACCAATATCTGTTTCATTGTTAATACAGAAGCAAAAACTCGACTAAAACAGGCAGAAAGCTAAAAGTACT